CCCAGAGGGAACCACCAGCAAGCCTTGTCGGCTGGGCATTCCAGTGAGCTCCTAAGAGTCGCTGTGAACTTTCTGATTCCTGACTGCGTGCAAGGGTGCTCAGCTGGTCGGCACTTTTGTCTGATGGTGATAAATTATGCCACCGGCTGGTTTAAAGTTTTAGATGTGTGGACCAGAATACATCCTCTCAGGCCTTCCTTTCTCAATATATTCCCTTTTAATTTCTTATTCAAAGGTCAACAGTTTATGCTTTAACTTGATCTAATTTGTGTCTCAACATGAGATTTGTATAGCTACAAATAGCACTCATTAATTACGGTATAGCACTCATGCAGGATTTCTTTCTTTTCCTTCTAATATTTCACTCCCACAAGTTTCTTTTTTATCTTCTGGTCCCTTACTGAAACTTATCTTTTATTAAATTAAATGAAGGGGAAGCTTTTCTTGTGCTGATCTCCTATATCAATGAAATTCACTGCTGCCCCAACAGTCTGGAGTTAGAAGAAAATTAAATTTGCCGGATAACTTTATACTGTTCAGACATCATTATGCAGGAGTTTGTGCCACAGACGATCAGGGTTAAGATTTTAATTTTCAATTAAATTGCTTAAGCAGGGATAAATGAAAACCCCTCTCCTGCACAAGCTGCTGAAAGGATCTGTACCATCCCAAATCCGCAGTTTAACAAGTCTCACCTGGGCTCCGAAGGCCCTCGGTATCGATTCCAGAGCTTGATTCGCCAAACCAGAGCTAAAAAACAAATCGACCCGAATCAGCGAACGCCAGGCTCACAATAAGCCTGATTACTGGCTGCTTCAGTAATCATCAGGGAGGCACGTCTTGGTAAATTAGTAATAATAGGAGGGGGAAAAAGTGCCACCAGCAAAAAGAATAGAACTAAAAAAACCCGCAAAGAACAGTTTTGCTCTTATTTATTATTTTATCTTAAAAATACTCTAAATATTGTTCAGAGCTAATGGATCATTTGCTCATCGGCTTCTGTTTTTTTTTTAATTCTGCGTCCTAGCAGCAAGTCGTTCCAAGGTCTAGGCAAAGCAGTGTCCAGGAGTGCGGTTTTAGTTGCCGTGAGTTACTCCACGGGACAGATCAGCGTCGTTAAGGCCATACGCCACCGCAGACTAATTAAGGACTTGCTGTAGTACATGGACCCATCTTCAGGTGGACTAGCGTAACGTTAGTTACTTCGCCAGTGCCCGAACGTTACGTTTACGTCCGTAAATTCAGCCTCTGCTCGCGAATGCCTGAGATCCCTTCCGCTGGCACCGTGCGAAGCCCGTCGTACGATCTGCGCCTCTGGCTGTGAAAGGCATTGCCTGCAGCAGGAGAGCCTGGTGGTAAAGCGCAGGTGGACGGTGAATAGGAAGAGCTGTCCCCTCAGCAGAGCAGTGAGCTCGCTGGACTGCATGACAAAGCGCATGGGGGTCGCATGGTAAAGTCCCACTAGCTGCCCGGCGGTGTTGAACTGGTGTAGGCGAAATTCCTGTTATGTGCATGGGGTGGTGGGGGAAAACTGTAATAATTGCTGGGCAGCTGCACAGCAGAGGAATGCTCCTTTTCCTAGATTTTTTTTTTCTTCTGCTCTTTTCTTGCCTCCCGAAGGACTGAAGAAAATACGTAATCTGGATCGAATGTACAGATCAGCTGTCTGTTATGCCGGCCATGCTCCTGCTAAGGGTGTCAGTGATGAAACAGAAATTAACAGTAAGAGTTGGTTATTAATATTGCATCAGTGACATCGCTTGAAGGGCTGGTAGCTGGGTGATCTATTATTCATTCATTGATTCATTTATTTACTTATTTCATTCCCCCCAGCCCCCCACACTTTTGAAAGTTATTTATAGAGGTCGTGCTGGTGATTGAAGTACCTAGTTTACAGGGGCATGTTGTCAATATGAGGTTTTTGCATTACAGTGAGACTGACAGTAGGAGGCTGGAGTCATTGACACACAGACACACGATGAGTCAAAATGTTATGACACCAGCTCATGTGCCGCGATCATATTCTTAAGTCACTCTGCATGACTTAATCCGACACCAAATTAATGGTGCTAAGTGAATTTGTGAGACCTGTTCAGTGAGTGTGATGAAGTTTTAAGGCAGAAGTTCATATCCATTACAGAACACATTTATTCATGTGCTGAAATTGAGTAGTTAGAGATTTCTGTCGTGCTCAATCACCACACACATGCCTTTTCTGTGTTCGTGAATAATTGACTGATCAGGTTGTCGCAGCATCTTCTCGTGCAGAGCAGTACCGTGAAAATTTAACACAAAACATCAGCTACATGACTCACGTGTGTCATTCAGTTCTTACGCTTGCATGGAACAATTCTTGCTTCTTCAGAATAGCAGTTTGCTTAAAAAATAGCGGGAAGAAGCCATTACTCAGCAGTTGTTCCACATTATGTCCAGTAAATTGTGCAAGACTGTTGTTCTATTATAGTCTATGTGTGTCTGTGTAGACTGAGGCTCTCTTCTGATCAGCATGGCTTTTTTCATACCAGTTGGCACTTGTACTGCTCGTATCGGTTGATACCCGTATCATTATTACCCTGTTCTGACTTGCATGGCCTCATTCGTGTGAGCTACCTTAAGGTTAAGATCCGACCCTGCTGCAGACTGCGACTCAGCTCTGCGCGGCCTGGGCGCAGGTAAAGCACTGATCTGAATAATTGCGGTTGCAGATGTGGTACCGATATGGAGCGGCTCGGTTGAGTTGCTGGGTCCTCAGCTCTCTCCTTGAGATGACATCTTCACGGGCTGGTGAGCCGGGGAAACGCAGTTCTGAGGTTAAACAACAGGGGCTGATTAGAAGACCTTCCTGCCAACATCTTAATTCAGAAAGCTTTAGCTTGTTTGTCTTTGTGTTCGCTTCACAATGCTTATGTGTGGCATGGATGAAACTAACGCTCCTTTTTTAAAAAGCAGTCCACCCACAGGATGCTTTAAAGTTTTTTGGATTGAATTTACTGATCTGTTTCAGATACAGATGCTTGTTTTCATTTAAAAAAACCTAGGATCTGTATTCCTCCTCTTGCCTGTTAAATGCAACATCAGTTTTTGTTAAGAGGCAATTAAATCATTTTCCCCCCTTCCTTTTCTAAAATTAGAAGCTGTTTTTTTTAAATAATACGTTTCCCTGTCAGGAATCACTAGACTAGAAAAAGTTTGGCTCAGGAGCCTTAGAAAATCATCCTTTTTTACTTCAATCAGCTAAATCTAATGCTGCTTAATTTGCCCTCCCTGTAACTGCATAAATGCAAGATCACATTCCTCCAAAGTTTAATAACTTTGCCATGGCTATTCAGAATTTTTTTTAAACAATTTAAAAATGACAGTTCAAGTAGGGGACAAGTTAAATTTCAGGAATGTTGTAACTTAAGATGCCGAAGTAATCAGGTTGGTAGTAATCAGTAAGGAAAAGAAGAAATCATCACTCTTTGGTAAACATAGTTTACTTACTATGAGACCGAGGTCCTCTTAACAGAGGTGACACACAAGAAGCACAGTGAAACAAGTCGGATGTAAAAAACATGCACCTCTGATAATGTGCAAACTTTATTCATTCTGTCGATTAATTTTTCATGCACGAACATCAATGCTAGTCCTTTATCATTACTGTTGTCAGCGCCCTATTGTATCTTGGCAGGTATGTCTTTACATTACTGTGTTGTTTCATATCCATTGCAGTACCAGTCGATGTTGAAGAGCTCTGGCTAGGGATACTCTGATAGCTGCACCATGAAAGCTCATGCTGTCAGCACTGGATAGGGGGGTGTGAGGGATTGTGGGGGCTTTTGTTCGAACAGTTGAAGATCTGATCCTGGTTGCATGAAATGTCTTAAGTACCGAGTGTTAGGTAAATAAATGTGGATTTCTTTTCCCTTTACTTGGCTACTGACATTGATAAGTTCAGTCCCTTTGTAGGCCACCCCTGCACTTGGGGAAACCTAATCTGATCTAGATGTACCTGGACTTGTACAAGCACTGCTGCCTGAATATAAAGGGCATTTAAGGTGAGAAAAGGTAGTTCACTGTTTGGACTGCTTTCATAGAGCGTGTCTTTGAGAAACGTGGTTATGCCAAATATGTTTGTACTTTGTTGTTTGGATTGACTGGGTGTGACAGCACAGTGGTGCAGTGCTCAGCATCCCTGCCTTGCAGATCTGGGGCCCTGGGTTCAATTAAAGACCTGGGGTGCTGTCTGTGTGGAGTTTGTATGTTCTCCCTGTATTTCCATGGGTTTGCTCCCACAGTCTGAAAACATACTGGTAGGTTTATTGACCTGGGAAAATTGGCTCTGGTGTGGGTGTGTGCGTATTTGTGTCTGCCTGGGTCCAGCGAAGGACTGGCGTCCCATCCAGGGTGTACCCTGCCTTGTGCCCATTGCTTGCTAGGACAGGCTCCAGCTGTCCTGCAACCCTGTAGTGGATAAAGTGCTTAGAAAATGAATGGATGGATTGATTGGGTGATTGGCTCAGAGTATTTCGGAGTATTCAATGAAAATGATCTTTGTGTGGCCTGGCGTGCCCGCGTGGCAGTGGGTGTGCGCGGCGCTCGTACCTGTCCGCCGGCGGGTGTGCCACTGGCTGTGCAGACGTGCGTGTGCCCGTGTGCGTCGGCGTGCTCCTGCTGGGGCAGGTTGACCAGGACCCTCCGGGTGCCCATGTTTCCTGTATGCCGGCTGATCTGTACGTGCTCGGGAGCGCTGGCCTGCATCCGAGATGTGGAGCAGCAGATAAGGGAGATTGTTTCTACATTCAGCAGTGAGCAGTCAGAAAGCAGCCCCCTCATAGACAACCAGACAATTTCTTGCAATCAAGGCCTTGTTAGAAGGGCTGGAGCCACAACAGGTTTCTGTCTAAATTGACTCCGCTGAGTTTCGCAGCAGTTTCATTGCTCCATGGTGCCTGTTCTGAAACTCAGTCTGCTATTCAGAGTTTCGGAAAAAACGAAACATGATTTAAAGCCAATAATACCCAGAAAATAAATCACCGATACAGTGCCAAAGACCTTTCTTTGCCTGTTGCTCATCTTTAAGTTTCCCAGTTATTAGCAGTATATTTTCTTCGCGCTCACACTGTCACTTCCCTCATTTAAACCAGTTTATGGAAAAAAAAAAAACTAATGACATCAATGCTACCGAAAAAACTTGGCCGTTGCTGCTGCTGTAGATAACGGCCATAATAGCTGTAGCGGTATAATAATATTGATGTTCATAACTTGTTAATATTCTGCTTCTTCGCAGTAACCTTGCACCAAGGTTGCTGACTGGCTGGGTTGTCTCAAGTTCAACGTGAAGTTCCAATTATATTACTGTCCATTTGCCTATTTCAGTACATGTATGACCAATCAACATTAATTCAATTTAGTCTTTGCTGTAACACAGTTCATTCTAGTTTGTCATTGTACATTTAAGCTTTAGTTTATATTGTATATATATATAAACATTTTGTTTTGTCTTGTACAGGGCCTTGTCGGTTTTATAAAAAGCACTTTTTAAAATGTATCATTATTATATTCATCATATTCACATTGTAATTTGCTACCGTTTTTGGGGCAGATTAAAAAACCTGAAAATATTGGATATTCTGATATAGATTGAATGTGTTGGGGAGCACTGCATTATAACCCCGACCTACTTTCCTTTTTTGTCATTTTCAGAATTGCTCCAAGTAATGTAATAAAGATTTACATTTTCAATCTGTCAGAAAAGTGAAACATAAAGCTGTCCTTTTTAGCATGCTTGCAGACAAAAGGGGGAGGAGAAGGAGTTTGCAGTCTGGGAAGGTATTGATTTAAGATTTGTTTTTGTCAGCACTCTCCAGTCTCCTGACCTGTTCTGGTACCTTGGGTGAGCTCTGTGCAAGCCAGTGTGACCGAGATTGTAAAATCCTAAACACTTGGTTTCACCGAAAGAACCAGTGATAATCCAGAGATCAGAGCTCCACGCTAAGTAGAAAATTTAGCTTTTTTAAAAAAAATCTGCAGAGCAGGAGGAGTGATGTCGGTGTCGAGCGTCTGTGTTCCCAGCAAGCCTGCATCAGAATGGGACACCCCAACAGGGAGAGAAGGGGCTGCACTTTCTGTTTCGGTTTAAATCGTCCCACATTGACAAACGTAGGAGAAATTGTATTTTGGAGTAGCTCCTTCTTTCTTCTTTCAGTTAGAATCGCCTGTTGTTTTTTCATACCCCCCTGATGATCCGATCAGCCAATGGTGTTTTTTCGCTCTCGGCTCACAGCTATAAACCCCGCAACCGCACACGGGAGAGGATGAGGAAGTGTGGGCAGACTCCTTCCTTTCATTCGCCTTCGAACGCGTGGTGGGCACCAGGGCACAGTGCTGATTGGAGGAGGAGAGGCACCCCCCTCCCCTGACAGCATCACAGACCTGTAGGCATCCACGAGCCTGCAGGGGTCACTGTGTTTAATCAAGACCCCAGAGAACCCCGGCCAGCTTTTCCATCCAACTCTCTTTTGGTCATAGCTGTCTAGTGGCATGACTTAGGCTCGAACCCATGACACCTGGATCATAGACATGCATCTTCTCTGGGAGAGCCCTTCAGGAGGCCCTGGAACTGCTCATTCTTAATGCCCACCTGCTGAGCTGGATTAAATTAGAAGCAGTGCTTTTTTGAAGGGCTAAGGGGGATACCTTTTGCATCTCATTGCCTTAAAGCCTTAAACATTTCCAAATGA